AATCAAAACAGCCTAATGAATTTTAGAGCCTGAGCTTTTAAAATTTTAACAGGAAGAGGTGTGCTCCTCACTATGGAAGTTTTCCTAAAGAATCTGTAAGCTTTTATGTAGAATAGATTGCCACATAGACCCTAGAGGTTTGTTTATTCAGCAAACATTTACAAAGCACCAATTATATGCACAATGTTTAGACGTGCAAAGAAGAAGGGGCAGTCATGCCCTTGAGGACTTACAGTCTAATGAGAGAGAAACACATGTAAAATATTTACAGTCAAAGAGATAAGGGCAATGATAGAGTGTATATAATGACTATGGTCACAGAAGAAAGGAATTTAAACCTACAAAAACATTTGTAAAAGTGTTCTCCTTTACATTTGGTTTAAGTTTTCATATTACCAGATATGGTAATATGATGTTGGTAAATCTCATGTTGTTAGGTGCCATAACATTGGCTCAGAATCAGCAACACCGTGTGCGACAAAATGAACCATTCCTCAGTCCTGTGCCATCCTCACAATCACTGGGTCCATTGTGCAGCTACCGCCTCAATCCATCTCATTCAGAGTCTTCCTCTTTTTCACTGACCGTATACTTTGCCAAGATTAACATCCTTCTTCAGGGACTGGTCCCTCCTGATAACATGTTCAAGGTACATAAGACCAAGTCTTACCATCCTCGCTTCCAGGAAGCATTCTGGCTGTACTTCTTTCTAGATAGATTTGTTCATTCTTCTAGCAGTCCATGATACATTCAAAGGCACCAATTCTTCTTGGTCTTCCTTATTCATTGTCCAGTTTTCACATGTATGTGCAGCGATTGAAAACATCATGGCTTGGGTCAGGCACATCTTAGTCCTCAAAGTAACATCTTTACTTTTTAACAGTTTCAAAGGGTCTTTTGCAAAATATTTTCCAAATGTAATATTTCACTTTATTTTTTGACTGCTGCTTCCATGGGCATTAATTGCAGATATCACAGACCCATCAATTTTCTTAAGATTCAACAAGACAATCTGACCTCATACATACAGGGATACAGGGAGTCTTTGGTTACTAAGGGAAATCACATCAGTAGTAACATTAAGTCCTTACATTTATTCGACCATTTTGAACATGTTACTAAAATCAAAATCCATTTCAAAAACATAGAATAATAAGATACATATTTTATCTAGCACTTTCCCATTTTCACTCCACCCCTGAGTTCTTCTTGCCCCACAACCTCCTCATGGCGACTTTCACCTCTGCATTTCTGAGTGTGTAGATGATGGGGTTCAGCATGGGGGTGACAATGGTGTAGAACACAGCCACCAGTTTATCCACAGTGAAGGTGGAAGAGGGTCTCATATAGAGGAAGATGCCAGGTCCAAAGAACAAGACGACCACCGTGATGTGGGAGGCACAGGTGGAGAGAGCTTTGCGCCTCCCCTCTGCAGAATGGTTCCTCAGGTGGACCAAGATGACGATATAGGAGGACATCAAGATAAGGAAGGAGCACAAGGCAATTAAGCCACTGTTGACCAACACAGTGACCCCCTCCACAAAGGTGTCAGTGCAGGCAAGCTTGAATAATGGCTGAAGGTCACAGAAGTAGTACTCAATTACATTGGGGCCACAGAAGGGCAACTGAATGGTGATGAGAATCTGAATTATGGAGTGTAAAAAGCCCCCTAGCCAAGAACCAGCCACTAGTACATGGCACAGCTGATGGTTCATAATGTTCATATAATGAAGAGGCTTGCAGATGGCCACATAGCGGTCATAAGCCATCACCACAAGCAAGAAGATCTCAGTGACCCCAAAGAAGTGGAAGAAGAATATCTGAACCAAACAGCCCTCCAGGGAGATGGTTTTAATCTTGGTGAGTAAGTCTGTGATGAACTTAGGGACAATAGTAGAGGAGTAACTGATCTCCACCAGGGACAGGTAACTAAGGAAGAAATACATGGGGGAATGCAGACTCTTGCTGACTCTGACCGTGAACATGATGAGGCCATTGCCCATCACCGTCGTCAGGTACACTGGAAGAAACACCACAAAGCACACCCTCTGCACCTCTGGATCCTGGAAAAGGCCGGTGATAACTAACTCAGTCACATTGTTTATACTGGCCATGGGTTACATGTGGGGAAGATGGATCTCAGAGAAGAGACTTGTGACAAAACAAATACAATCATTACACAATCTCACATGTTTGTTTAACACTTGGTGGTTTATAGAACCCTTTCACACAATCATCTGATTGGTTTATTTACTTATGTTGTTGTTGTTGTTGTTATGTGCCGTCAAGTCGGCCCTGACTCATAGCGACCCCTCCTTGGGTTTCCGAGGGAGTATCACTACGGAAGTAGGATTGCCCAACCTTCCTTCTGAGGAGTGGCTGGTGGGTTTGAACTGCCAGCCGTCTGGTTGGCAGGCAAGTGTCTTAGCCACTATGCTACCAGAGCTTATGTAGGGATGTATTATTTAGTCATTTAGTAATTTTTTATTCTTTTAGTGTTTAATAATCTACTGTATACAAGACACTATTCATCCCCATGTTAGAAATAAGATAATGAGGCTCAAAGTGGTTGTGATTAGCCAACCCTCCCAGTAAGATCTGGATCCAATACTAGAGCCAGATCACTGTCTTCCAATTCATGTTATTTCAGGTACACCACACTGAAAAAAAAATACTATTCACTATTACATTAATTATGAACTATTACATTGATCACTAACATTTCTTCCATTTTCAATGTTTTCTCACCATGTTTTTATCTTAGAAAATCTTAAGTGATCTTCTGTTTCTGAATCCCTTGTTTCTTCCATTTCTCCCTCAGGAATTCCATTCTCATTGATATTTCTCCCTTTCTAACGAGTCTCTTTGTTATTTTCCTTACTTGAACCATAAAAGTTTCTGAATTTTCTCAGGGTCTGTGGCTATAATTAATCCCACAGCTTTGTGAATTTCTACATACATGTTTAGAAAATGTTGACACTTGAGAGTGAAATGTCTATCTGTAAACAGTTCAGAGTATAGCTTACTATTAAACAATGACTCAATTGTAATATATTGGGTGATTGGATGGTGATACGAATATGAATTATGTAAAAAGATCCCCAGCCAGAACCCAGCCACTAGTACAGGGCATAATTGATTGTTCATCATGTTCATATAATGAAGAGGCTTGCAGATGGCCACATAGTAATCATAAGCCTGCTTCTGTATTACAGTTTGCTGGTCATTGGCAAGCATTTTTGGCAACAAGAAGGGAGAATCAATTTACTACTGGCCAATAAACAAGACATAATCTCAGTTCTATTCAAGGGTCTCCTCTCCTTAGAAATACAGGTTAACTCCCACACAAGAGTATACCTCTTCTTTTTCACACTGTCTGGTATGCCTGCCTCTCTTTGTCTCCCTCTCCAAATTCTACCTATTCTATGGCCATTACCCAGGAAGCTTGTCCTAGTTACTTCAACCCTAGTTCACTTACCTCTGCTCCCAACTCTGGAAAATGACTTCAGTGGTCTTCCTGTCAAATGCAACAAAGCATACAGTGTTCAGCTCATAGAAAGCCCTTGATGAATATAAGCAATCATTTTATTATACTTCTAAAATGCAAATCTAATCAACTCATGCATAGGCTTGAAATCCATCAATGGTTTGCCATTGTCTATAAGTCCACTATCATCATCATCATGGCATATATGACCCACCAAAAACTGGACCTTATTTATTTTTCCAGCTTCATTTGCCATAACTTTCCCTGGAGCCAGTACTCCAGTCATTCTGAACTATGTGTCATTCATATAAACTTGTTCTTTGTATATGCTGTTCCCTCCACTTAGTGTACACATGTTGGCTTTCTAAATGTTATGCTTTCTTCCACATGTTTTACTTCTTTCTACTAGGATATTTAGCACAATTTATTATAATTTTTTTTAATCCATCTTCCTCTCTGACCTGATACATCTCTGTATCCTTACAACTAGGTAGCTAGTAAATGCCCAATAAAGGATAAAAAATGAAGAAATCATTCAATCACCTACAATTGGACCCATGCAATTAATCGCACTTTATTTCTATACTGCCTTTTATTGTTCATTGTGATCTTGTGTAGTCTGTTTGTCTTCAGGCATAGAGTCTAATTCTGTTACTCCTTGAACCCCACAACACTTAAGTGTTAACCTCACAGTTTGTCCTCAATATATATGTACAATCTTGATTGATGATAAATTTCTTAAAAAGAACGAACTAGATTGTTTAAAGTTATCAGTCTACATTTTCCTTTCAGCCTGTGCCATCCTCATATAGCCCAGGTGAGACTCTTTCTCATCTAAAATGTAAAACTGTGAACAATGTAGATCAAATAGACCGTTTACTCCACTGGGTCAAACCCAGACATGCTACAGCTGTGCATCTGAAGTATCTTGTTAATTTCATAGATTATTTTCCATGAGCCAAAGCAAAAGGGGTCCCTAAAATCATTACATTCCACAGTAGACATCTTTTGTTCTCATATTGTCCAGTGCTATTTGGACATGAATTTTTCAACTCTTACACAAAATGCCAAATTTCTTACACACACACACGTCATATCTAAGTCCTTATGTTGAGAAGGTTACCATAAAAGACTACACGATATGTACTTTAAAAAAAAACAAGCAAAATATCCATTTGGGGAATTTAAAACAATTTTGTCAAATGATTCATGGGATCATTATGAGAGGAAGAACAGGATGAATCCCAGAAGGTCGAGTGACTTGCCGTTGAGTAGAGGGGACAGTGTTAGGTGCCTACGGCTCAAAAGGACTAAGAAAAAACAAACAACAAAAAAAGGACATCTGCCCAAACTCTCCTTCACCTTCTTCCGAGATCAGTCTAGAGTCATGGTGAAGAGGGTAATCATTACAGTCATCAGCCAACTCTTGGCTCTACTATCACATATCATGTGTCCTCGTGAACTGGTTTGCTTTACTTTTTTTTTTTTTTTGGATAATAATTTATATTTGACATGATTGTTGAAAGAATTAAATGTGACATAAAATATATAAAGCACTTAACAGAAGATCTTAATAAATGATAGCTATTATTAACTCAAACTTTCTGGTATTCACATTTCTCTTAACTTTCTCTTTCCCCCTTGCCCAAGAGAGAGACCGTTGATAACAAATTGCCTTCTCCTTTCTCCAGCACATTCTTAAATAAAACCCCCACTCCAGGGTCATGAATTAAAGTGGTTAAGGATGTAAAAACCTAGGTGGTAAAATGATGGTATGGATCCTAACCAGGCAGAATTTCATACTCTAAGATAGTGCCCCAATGAGGGAAATCTGACAAAGACAAAATAATAACGTGATAGAGAGCCTGGAAGACCTCTTCCTATGAGCTCAAAGTCACATCATAAGCCTCTTTCCCATTACTCAGTTGGGGCCACTGCTTCATGGAATCCCAGAATGTGAGGGCTGAAAGGGACTTTAGGACACATTGCGTCCAGTCTTCTTCTTTTACAGAATCAGAAACTGGGGTTCACACAGGAAAGGTGACTCACCTAGATCACAGAATGATTTGGAGCTTTTTAACTTTCACTCAATCAACCTGGGAAATCTTTTGAGTATGGCATTGCTTACCTTCTTGGTCAATATTCAGCCTATGAGCAAGGAATTGATTGTGAAAGCTCTTCTTCTTAAGCTTAGCAAAGAGTTCTCCCTCTGTTAAGAATTGACCATTCAGGGAGATATCCTGAACAGAAGAGATTGAAGGGATTTGGCCAGGAGCATGAGAAGCTTTCTTCAAAACAAGAATCCTTGTCTGCATTGAAGGCCCCAAGTGGGATCAACCACTTCAATGCAGACAAGCTACCAAGTTGATTTGAAGAAACATTAAAGCTGAAAGGAAAATTGGAGATCATTAATTCATACTTCTCCATTTACAGGTGAAGCAACTAAAGGTCGGAGAGTTGAAGTGACTTATCAAGGTCATACAACTAGTTATTGGCCAAGTTACTGATGCAAAAACAAATGTTTCCATTACAGGGCTTCCTTCCTGGTGATGTGGGTTTTGTGATTGTTATTGCCAATTAGGAATGTAAATCTTGTTTCCATACAACAATATTAAATGAGCCCCTGTTATCTTTTAGAAAATGAACAGTCCAGGATGAGGAGGATACATTACATAGGGAAGGATTCAGGAACCTGATCCCATTGCCAATCTTGTATCTACCATTTAGAAACCAGAGGGGGTGGGAGCTACAGGAAGCAGCTTATCAGTGATTTGGAATCCTAGTTCACTCCCTAGAAGACCAAGAATAGTTTTTCAATACAAGATGCTTGAACAATTTAAGATAAATTGAGCCCCATGCTGTGACGGAGGACTAAATTCCCCACGCAATTTGTTTTCTTTAGTGTGAAACTTTGGGACTGAGAGTAAGGAAAATGTTCAAAACGTGTTTCAATTAATTTCATTAGAAACTTTTCAAAGTTACAAACAACCAGTAGTTATGCCCTGAGAGAGGAAAGGTAAAGACATGCTGTTAGGAAAGTTTTTGCACCCACTTTTTCAGTTACCATGGGAGTATGAGACTGAAAGTAGAAGAAAGAGAGAATTGGTCTGGAAGCAAGGCTGCCAGCTGGGTGATTTTAGACAATTCCTTCTCTTCAAGATGCAGTTCCACAGCCATAACATGACAAGATTGTACCGAATAATCCTCCATGTCCCTTCTCATTCTAGCATTCTACATTTCAAGATGCTTAGACTTCGATGCCTTAAATATCCATACGTGATAATAAATACAACAAAACCAAACCAAACTCACTGCCACTGAGTCAATTCCGACTCATAGCAACCCCGCTTGGGTTTCTGAGGTGGTAAATCTTTACAGAAGGAGATTGCCCAGTCTTCTTTCCAGGGAGTAGCTGGTGGGTTTGAACTGCCAACCTTCTGGTTAGCAGTCAAATGCCTTAGGCACTATGCCACCAGAGCTGCTTGTTGATAATTATAATGATGATCATCACAATGATT